CTAATCTCTCTCTCTCTCTCTCTCTCTCTCTCTCTCTCTCTCTCTCTCTCTCTCTCTCTCTCTCTCTCTCTCTCACCTCATTCTTTCTAGCTCTCTCTCCTCTGTCTCTCTATTTCTCTCCCTCTTTCTCCCTGTTTCGTCTCTTCAGCAGAACGTCAAACTTGTCATAAAAAAGCAATCAAACTGTAGAAACCATGGGCTTGCTCGGTACCAGAGTGTAATTCATAATCAGTGCAGGATTAATTGAAATTTGCTTATTTCCAAATTGTGAAAGTTTACAATGGATCTCCATTCGATTTATCCAACATCTTTTACATTTCCACCGCCCCGAAAGGCGTGGCGCAGGAAAGTGCTGAACAGGTAGATTTTCAATAAAACATGTTTTCAATGCGACTAAAACTTTAAACCCTGCTCGTATTTCGTACAGCAGGCAAGGAATGGTGGCGTTTTCAAACGCTAGGTGAGCCCTCTTTCCTCCGCTCCTTCACTGTGATTTGGGGTGGATGCCTATTTATGTCTCTTCGGCTAATGTTTTTGGATGCAATGAATGTGTTGTTGTTGGTTGTGAGCTTGCCAATTGCCAATAGTATTTCCCGTAGTCAAAGTGTAAACTCTATAACTCCGAGTGGACGATGGAAGCAACCGCTGAAACTCGCCCGGCCCCGAATGGACGGTCCCAGCGTCCGGTCAAATCGCAGGGCGCATGAAGCGTCACTACTAATGTAATCTTTTACGAATCCGAATAGATTTATTTTGGCTTGAAAGTGTTAGAAAAATGAATAAACTACTTCCTCTTTCACTTTGACACAACTTTGGCCATTTAATAAATATTTTGCGTGTACCCCCGGTTACGTGTTTTACGAGATTTGTTAAAAATCCGTCAAAACGTGGAAATTAATCCAACAAAGTGACCTGTCAGGAGACAATCGTGTGGGGATTCAAATCTTACATCGTATAAAACAGTCTTTAGATCCACTTGCCATATCGCTTGAAACCAAGATTTCTTTCTCAGCAAAGAGCAAGCAGGATTTTGTTTTACACTGGCCAAGCTGGCTCCATTAAATCGTGCATTGTGCCGGGGAAAGTACAATAGAGGCAAAACTAAACACAACCACATTAACTGAAAAATCGTTCATTGTCGTAACAATGGTCTCACTCAATCACTCACCCATTCTTTGACCTGCGTCGTCTAGGGTAAACAGAGCACAGAAGATGTCGAGATTAATTTTTCTTTATGTTCATCAGTCTGTCGTCCTCATGGACTTTTCTTGCAGAAAAAAACCAGTCCATTTTTTTCTGTTGTCGGATCAACTTATACTTTCAAGGGCGAAAAATCTCGGAGGGCCCGTGTGCAAGTTGCGCACGTTAAAGATCCCTTGGTGGTCTAAAATCGATAACAGTAGGCTTCGGCCGCCACCTGGGCAAAATTCAAAATTTCCTACCAACTAAAAGTATTAGGTGTGTCCCGCGCGCTCATATGACCTTATGCAGTTGCGAGCGCCGTAAAACACTTACCAAAAAAAACAAAACACTTTCAATGTCCTCTTTTTCGACCGCCTCCAACGGTGCACCTGCGCCATGCACGATGGTTTTTACAAGGTTTTCATGCCACCTCTCTGTCCGAACCAAGCGAGTTTTCTCCTTTTTACTGTAGCTAGTAGTGGTTCTTGTGGTCCGACTCTATCACCTTAAATTGCTATCCATACATCTGTAATGAATTACTGTAAAGATCTACTATTTTGCATAGTGACGTCCCTAAAAATACATTTAAATCTTTGATCAAGTGACCAAAATCACCTCGGGCGGCCATAGTCACCCCGGTTTACCCGATAACAGAATTATTATTCAGAGATAAGTTACTGGTTGAACCATTATTTTGTTAATCTATAGCCTTCTGCTACCGACGTATTGGTGCGGCTGAGGAGGGGAAACAATAACTGCATCGTGAAAGTAGATAAAAGCGAAGCTGTTGATAAGCTTTAGGGGTTGATTTCACGTGAAGGGATCGACAGGAAGGAGAATATTGAAAGGTCAGAGATAACGATGATTCAACTTGTAATTGTACTAAATGATAGTTTATGATATCGTGTAAAGACATGTGTAGCCCTGGAGTGAATTGAATTCTTGAAGTGTGTTTTACCAGCAGAAGGTGTGTTTTTCCTTGAACTCTCCCTATATGACATGACTTTTGTTCTCGATACGAGCATTAGCACTCGACTACGGCAACTGGTAAGTTTAACGTGTCTCGTTGTCCTTCAGCTGCTTATTAATACTCGGCTGCATGTGTAGTTCATCTACTTCTACCCTAGCCTTCTGCATAAAACGGGCTCAATGGAAAAGCAAGAGTTATCACAAATTAGAAACCGTGAAGGTATCAATTTTAAAGGCTGGTAGACTCATAACTTCATCTCTATTTGATTGGTGTTTATTGTTTATTGTCAGTTGAATGGGAAATTAATGTAAGTAATCAACCAAGAGTTTTATACCCTTACAGATTTAAGTTTGTAAATAATACCAGTTTATTTTTCCATTGAAGCCTACGTGTGTGTTGTACGTTTTCATAACGTCACAGAAAAAGCTATCAACACTGAGCAAATTCGAACTCATCCCATTCAAGGCTGAAAGCTTGCATTGGGCTGAGTAAAGAAACCAGCTCATGATGGGAAAATCTAGAACAAGTTATTTTGATACCGTACAAACGTATGGAAAGCGGTGCACCCATTTTCGCCCCACTTTTGTTCAGCCACCACTCTACCCGTTTTCGTCCCACACTTGCTATAAAATGTAATCAATTGCCTTTCGATATCCATGTCTCTTTCTCTTTATCTGTCAATATATATATATAAATGACGTATTAACCAGCTCTATCTTCCAGTCCTTCTCTGGGCGTACACATCTAGAAACCACAGAAGGACAAATAACGGATGTGAAAGTTTTCATCGACATTTTGCAGACATATTTACAAGTTCTCACCTTAATGTCTTTGGCTGGTTATCAAGAATCAAGGATGAGCAAATCAAAACACAACTCAAAAGTAAAGCATAAGTCAGACCTATGCTACAGATACGGAGAAGAAAAACGGCAGAACTAAAAAGACAAGAACTAAAAAAGAAAAACAGAGATGGGCTTATTTCACAAAAAGACTTTATCTCTGCTGGAAATTTCAGCTTGCCATCACGAGAGACAGTGGCGGACTGACTATGAACGATGTACACAGTTTTACCCTGTATTCGTAAACGATTTTTAACAAGATTTTTTTAATTTCAAGGACGTTTTTAAATCAAACTATTCTATCAGAGACATTTATTCTGCAAACACACTCGCACACGCACACACGCGCACACGTGCAAACACGCGCGCGCGCACACACACACACACACACAGACAGACAGACAGACAGACAGATAGA